CAGCTAGAGGGGTGCTGCCAACAGGCGGAGGTCTCGCTCGGCAGGCGAGGGAAGCAACGCGAGCACAGGCAGAGGGAGCGCACCTGGGCTGAACTCCGTCTGGGCTGAAGAGGGCTCCTTCTAGGAAGAGGAAGAGGGTTTCCTTTCCTTTCCTGTCCAGTTGTTCCACTGATCGGTATCACCCTTTCTGCTCCCAGAGCAGGAAGGAAACAGCCATGGAGAAACATGGCAGCAACTTCCTCATCTGATTCTGGAAAATGGACTCTTGTCCAGTCCAGGTACTAAGGAAGCAATGCAGGAACATGCTAACCCTGCAGAGATGAAGACGACGAGCAGGGCACCTTGGCACTGCCTGCTCTAAAGCCAGCCATGCAGTAGAGATTAAAAATCTCAGAAGATATGGAAGGAGCAGGAAAACCAGGGAAAACGCTTCCCTTTTGCAAGCTCTGCGGTTAGTAGCAGCTTGACACGATCATTTTCAGCAGAGGTCAGCTGGAGAGGTGAAGGGCTGACACTCCTATGGACAAAGCACTCCTACTCTCAACTTCCATCAGACTACACAGTCTGCGAGTATGTTTCAAAGGTGATGAGCCCGACGTGAGCCTGAATGAACCAGAAAATTCCCGTTTTCCCTTCCTGGAACCCGCTGCATCATCTGCCTGGAGCGCCAGGAGCAAACGCTGTCACGATCTGAAGGAACTGCTGCAAACGGTTACAGACTGCTACAGCCTCCTCGGCTCTGGAAAGCAACGCACTGTACATCCACGGACTGGCTATTCTTCCTGCTGCAGGCCACCGGGATGGAGAAAAGCATGCACTCTCCTATCTCACAGAAACTTCTTACTGGGAACAGCACGTCAGATATTCCTTAGTATCATTTCATCTTCACTGTGAATCCTTTTCATGCAACGTGAAGGCTCTTTAAGTTGTTCAAATGCTCTGGTGATCCTTCCTGTACCAACTCCTTCCTCTCTGCGTGGCTGAACACCCTCCCACATCCACACACAAACACATCAGGAAGCTCATACACCACTCAGGTCTAACGAGCAGGGAAGCATAGCTGTGCAAGAGGAAAACTAAGCTGTGAAGCAGGGGTCTCCGTGTGAGGTATCGGCAGACTGAACGCGCAAATCTGCACTTGGCATCTACCTAATGCTGGTGCAGGACTTTCAGTTTACTTTACGCGAGCAGCAGTGTATTATTAGGCCAACATCAATGATTACACTTGAAAACCTTTGAACTCTATCCTGAATGCAAAGAAACCTTCATGGTGCTAAAAGAAGATCCCCACCACCGCTACAGAACTGCGTCAGTGACGTACAGTGGCAGCTGCAAGAGAAAAAGCACGGGTACCTGATGCTGTCGAGGTAGATGCCTGGTCATCCTCCGGCTGGACTGTCTGTCGAATAATTCTGTCAATCTCCAAGATGTCCATCCACTGGCTCAACTCGTTCTTCAACTCTGCCAGTCGCTGCTGGGTAGCAATCTTCTCTCTTGCCAGCCGCTCCATCTCATGTTCATATTCTTTTTCCTTCCTCTTTAAAGTCTACAGACAGAGGGGAGAAAAAGAAATATAAGAAGAATAAAGACAAGTATAATCTACACTAACCTGGTCACTCCCATGCTCATAGCTCGTTTTTTTCTATTACCAGTTATGCTGATGGAAAACACGTTCAGATATAGTTACGTCTGTCAAGTTCAGGCAGAAAGGGAAAGGACAAGAGATGGCCACTGAAGGGTTACTTTGGCCAACCACTGTCTGCCTTCTGAAGGAAAACTGATGAACCTTCAAAACTCAAATGCTTAACCACGTCTACACAAAATCACGGTCTGTTTCCATAACCAGCACATAAATGATGGAAAGAGATGGAACTTTTACATGGTCAGAAGAAAAGGAAAAGCACACGTACTAATTAGCTTCTGAGCAACACACACCACCAAGAGCTCCTGAACCAGACGAGATGGTGAAGAGCCGACAACACCCCCATCGCAGGGGAAACACGGAAGTCAAACGCACAGGAACAGTGTACGTCCTCCTGTTCCGCTAACGCCCGCTCAGCGCTGGAGCCTGGTGCGTTCATCGGCAGCGAAGGGAAGAGATGCTGACAACACCCCCATCGCAGGGGAAACACGGAAGTCAAACGCACAGGAACAGTGTACGTCCTCCTGTTCCGCTAACGCCCGCTCAGCGCTGGAGCCTGGTGCGTTCATCGGCAGCGAAGGGAAGAGATGCCTCCCCCAGCCAGCACAGTACACAAAAATGCCAAACGCTTCCCAGTACTATTAATGGGAAATATAAACCACGTAGATCTGATGAGGAGCAATTACTGAGCAGTGCAGCAGAAAAACAGCAGCTGATCCTCACAAAAGGTACTGCTTTGGGAGACGTTCAGGGCAGCAGTGTAGGACTGAACAGTAACAGGATAGAGAACCTGTCCCCCAGCCCGGGTCAGCACTTATTTTAAGCATAAAAGACACAAAATAAGTGAAATCCGCAAAAACAAGTATATCCTGTTCCTTTTCCAAAGTCAAGTTTCGCCATGGGGAATCTAAATCACGATACGCACTTCTGAAAATACCAGCTACAGAGGCCTCCACGGAGCCTGCACGGCCGCATCTTCCCTCACCGCTGGCAGGCACTGCTTTAAAAGCAAACTTAGAGCAGCTGAGGGTCAGACTCATGATCTCCTGAATACGTGCTCTTTATTTGACTCCCAGGTTCTCCAGGACAATTGCAATCAGAACCTGACCTCATGAGTTTCAACGGTGCTGCTGGTCTTTTATCTCAAAAGTTGGCCAGGAATAACTTTAAAGCCTGTTCAACCAGGCCTTTAGTTCACCCTAAGCCAAGCAAACTTAGAGCAGCTGAGGGTCAGACTCATGATCTCCTGAATACGTGCTCTTTATTTGACTCCCAGGTTCTCCAGGACAATTGCAATCAGAACCTGACCTCATGAGTTTCAACGGTGCTGCTGGTCTTTTATCTCAAAAGTTGGCCAGGAATAACTTTAAAGCCTGTTCAACCAGGCCTTTAGTTCACCCTAAGCCAACACAATGACCAGGATGCTCCTGCCTTCCTATAGGAAAGTAAAATGAAAAAAAAAAAAGGTACTTTTGTCTTGATAATAACAAAGAAGGAAGTATTTTTAAAACACCCCAACAATGTGTATTGGCAGGGTGCAGTCACTCCAGATGTGTGAACGGAGACATCTCCTCTCCACGAGGCTTGCGCTTTGCCTCTTGGCAGCGCCGCCTTGGGCTGGGCTAAAAGCCTTTGGAAAGGGACCGTTCCTGGGCAAAGGGCCAGCTCTGTCCCTCCTGCTGCTTTCTAAACCGTAAGCAGGCAGCGCATGTGCCAACTCCTCAATCCAAGGTTTTACACCAGGAAACCCCCGCAGCCTCCAGCAGCGGGAGCGCTCCTGGGACAGGCGCGTTCTGCCGCAGGGAAGGTCTCCAGGGCAGGAGACGCAGGTACGGGGGGACGGGCACTCCCGGACTCCCAGCTCTGCACCCGCACGGGCTCCTGGCCTGGAGAGCCACAGGTGGTTGCAGCCAAAATCCATACACCAGTTTTAGCGCGTTCTCCTACCGAGCGCGGCTGAAGCATCCTGCCTGACCCAGAAAGCAAAGCGACGCTGCATGTGCGCAGCCGGAGGGACACGGGCGGGCACGGCGGGTGGGCACGGCGGGCAAAGCTGGGGCAGTGAGGAAGGTGCGCTCACGTTTAAGTGTGCATGAAGAGACCTGGTCGGAACATCTTCCTCCTTACTCTCTAACCAGGAAAGAAGCAAACAGGAGAAAGCCTGAGACTAAAACCACTGCACACAGACACGAGCCCGGCCCCTCTCTGCAGCATTCCTCTCCGAGCACGTTCTCCACGCGGTTACTCACGGGGCACCACAACGAAAGGACGGGACACGCTAACGCAGCTGGCCTGAAGCGTAAGAAGAGAGAAATCCACGCGGCCTCAGCACCCGCATCGCGCACAGCACAAGCGTATCCAAGCAGGTTCGGCTTCCTTCAGACTCCCAGCACCACGACTATGGGGTATGGGAGGGCAGCCGGTAATTAGTAATGAACTTCTAATTACTGCAAAGGCAGGCAAACCCTTAGTGAGCACCAGGAGGAGCCTCCCAGCGAGCAGGGCCAGGGAGCTCGCTGTCGCTCTCCAGGTGCTCCGCTCCTCCGGCACGGGCTTTGGGACGCGGTGCTGCTCCAAGCCCGGCCCCCCGGCTCTGCCTCCCTCTGCAGTGCCAGCAGCCCCGGCCCTCCCCGAGCTGGGAATCGGCTTGACGGGGTAGCCACTCACCGCGACCGCACACTGCTCCTGGGGCTGTGGCAAACGGCCCCCCGGCTGGCAGTCCGGCAGGCTGGGCGCTCTCCAAGGGAAGCTGCTGGGGGGGCTGGAGCAGATGGGCTGGAGTCACTGCTGGCACCGGTAATCTCTCAACTATTCTAGGAGGCAGTTCACTGTGGCTCACTTGGTAAAGATGATCTCCTGGCTGAGCTGCTACTTGGCCTAGGAACGAACTCCGTGCGATTAACCGGAGCCTTCCTCCCTCTCCAGCAGCCCCCCTGCAAGCACTGCCCCGCTCGCTGCGGGCATCAACCTTGCAGGGCACAGCCCCTCCCAGGCACCACCCCGACCCACTGGCCCTTGTGCAGCAGCCGCAGGACCCTGCTGGAAAGGGGACAGGGCGCAGGGACCCTCCTGCCTTTGTACTTCTTCCCTCCGGTGGCCGGTATGGAAGAGGGTGGGTGCACGTCTGTGTCTCCTCTGACCAGCAGCCCCTTGGACAGACGGACGGCTATCTGGCAGCTGCCTGCCAGCACGTTATTTTCTGCAAATCATCCTGCCCATGTCAGGTGCCAGGTCTTCCTGGCAGTCAGTAAAAAGTCCACAGCGACAGCCGGACCTTAGTCATGCTGACTTTGCTTGTCTATCTACTCCCAAACAGAAAACACCTTTAGAGACATGCACTGGTCTCCAGTACGTTTTTTCTACAACAGGAATTTCTTAGCACAGCAGCAGTATCACAATGGATCCTACGCAATACGGAAAAAAAAAAAAGTCACAGCAGTTTTAAGGTGAGAGGCAGCCACACAGACACCCCTTTCACCAAACCCAAACCTTTGGGATCTTCCAAGCACGTAAGGCTAGAGCTGAAACAGGCAGAGGGGACCCTGAAACTACATACAACAAAATAACTAATTAAGAATGAAATTTCAAGACAGGGAATTCATACAAGTGCCCAACCACCAATTTCAAGGTCTGAAATTTCATTAAGGCAGAGGCACGTGGGCCTGGGACAGCTGCAGGTCAGTGACTGCCATCCGACCCACTGTCCTGGCACCCCGGAACGGCAACAGCGAGGGTTCCGGTAAAGTGCTGGTACCCGGGATGACAATTAAACTGTCTGCCAGGATCCTGAAGGATACGTAGACCCAGGGCTGAAGACTCCAACCCTTGTTCCTGAACTCCCTCGCCAGAAGACGCTGTGTTCCTTTGCTCTGTCCTGCTGTTTCTCTCCGGACATGGTCTCCGCAGCAGGGGACGGGTCTGGAGGCCCCCAGACTCCTGGAAGTCGCTACTTTAAGGATGGTGGCACCAAAAGGTGAGAAATCCTGAGGAGAGCTCAAACCAAACGGCTTTGCCTGTTGGGAGTATGAAACCAGGTAGCAGGCAAGAGGGCTCACCAAAACGCACCTCTGCCGTTGCCGATACCGGCAGATGTAACCGAGGTAGTGGGAGTCCCTCCTCCCAAAATTAAGCTGAATCTGAAACACTGTAGTATTAAAACCCCAAACCATCTCAACCTTGTAATTGTGATCAATTGCCCAAAAATTCCTGCCACACACCGAGTGGCTCAGCAAGCCGCCGGGCATCACAGGCCACCAGCAGACAGATGGGGTTCTCGTCGCAACAGCCCCTTCACCCGGCGTGACAGGACAAGCACTTGCAGAGACAACACGGGCTCGAGGACAGCTGTGTCTAGCAGAAGCCCACAGCTGGCAACCCCCATGTCCAGGCTTGGAGCCCCTATCTCAGCGCTGACCCTGCAGCTGGACTTCAAATGCTGCTGTTAAAACCCTCTGCCCCTCTTCCCTTCTGTAGCTGCTGAAGCTTTGGGCTGGGAGATGCCAAGGGGAGATGGAAATCTGTGGGATTTCAAAGTTTATCTGATTCTGAATTATCTGAATGTGAAATAATTATAAAAGAAAAAATGCAGCTGAGTGTCCTCCTGAGAGGCAGTTATGTGGTCTACGAGTTTTATGCTTGGCTGAGATTCACATTATGTCATGGACTCAGTCCCTGGCGAGGACGAGGACCTGCGCACACCCAGGGGACGCTTCCCTCGGCGTCTGGAGCGCTCCCACTGCCCAGGCTCTCACCGTGCACCACTCCCCCCCTGTGCAACGTGACGCTGCAGTTTGGGGAGCGTACACTGACCTCACGGAGCCGACTGGAGCAGACCCAGCACCCCTTCCTCCTCCGGCACCCCGCCAGCACCGCGGCTGCCCCACACGTCCGTGTTTAACCAGAGG